CAGCTCCGCGCCCGCGGGTGCCCAGCGCTGCGGGCGGCCCCTGCGCTCCCTCAGCAGCCGCGGGGTAGGAGTAGGTGCTGCTCGCAGGTGGGGCCCGAATGGGACCGGCCTCTTTGGCCGTAACAAGAGCGGGTCAGAGTGCGGACAGGCCGCGCCGAGCGCATTTTTCCAAAGGAAGCACTGGCACGTGAGAACACGCAGTGAGAATCTCGCACGGTACCTCCATCTCTGCAAGTTATTTTTTCACCTTAATGGTGGTATCAAGCCACACGTTTATGTTATTTCAGGAGCTGTCTCTGGTTGGAACTTATTCTGTGATATAGGAGTTCGCTGTAGGTAACACACAAAACTGGTGTAGCCGAGACCAGGGAGTGAATCTCCTACTCAGAGCACAGGCCTCCAGATACTTCAGCACTTCTTTGGCTGTATCTTACGCTGGTTCAGTCATCGTCATACTGTGTCCCACAGTATCTGGGCTAAGATCTCTGGCAAGGTTTGCCATACCTTACCTAACATGCCCTGTGGTTTCTTGAGAAACGCCTTCTCCACACCTGTAGCAGTACCACCTGTCAGCACGGCCTGCACTGGCTCAGGGGAACTGTTTGCTGAAGTAGGAAGCTTATGGCCAGAGAGAACAGACTGTAATGAGAGCTGTGCCAGGATTAAGGGCATGTGCTGAGCATTGTTGCCACACTTGCTTCTTTAGGGTTCTGGTAGTCGCCCTCATACTTAGGAGTTACCACGCTCTGATAACGTTCTGAAAAGACTTAGTGCAAATTGGCAATGGTTTCCAGTTGCAGGGAGGGCAAGAGTTACCTCTGCGATTTTGTGTAGTGTGTGGTGCTAAGCCCAGCTTAGACCACAGGGAGAGGGACAGAAACGTGAAGAGCCGAGGGTACCCAAGCAATGTTGATGCTGAAGAGTTAATCTGAGGAAAACATGGGTTTTTCCCTGGGTCTGCTCTGCTCCATATGTTCATGCCCAAGTAGCAGGGTTTTGGTGTTTGGTTTTATGTTGTGGAAGACAGTTAACTTCAGGATTTTTTTTCTTTGATCCTTTAGCTCTGTCAACTTCCTTGGATATTGGGCTGAGTAACTGGAGCTTCCTGTACATCACTGTCTCCCTGTGAGTACAAACACCATCTTCCCCCAGAGCCCTCGGGGGGGCGGGGGGGGGGGTTTGAAAGTGCTTTGCCAGGGTCAGATTCCTGGATGGGTGTACAGCCAGGGGGGCACGCAGGGTCTGTGATAGCTGTCTGGTAGCAAGGTGGAAGGGGGCCATCTGGTGCCCAGTAGTGCTTTGCTGGGAAGGAGGATGTTGGAGGAGACTCGCAGTGTATTTTGGTCCTTACAGTTACGTGATGACCAAATCCTCTGCCATTCTCTTCATCCTGCTTTTTTCACTGCTCTTCAAGCTGGAGGAAGTGGTAAGGGTCCCACATGCTGCTTTAGGGAGGGAGAAGTTCCTGCCCAGGGAAAGAGGCAGTACATGTACAGGGAATGTACAAGTAGAGGAAGAATGCAGTTACGTGGATGAATTGTCTCTGTTCAGCTCTAAGGGTCTGTAGTGACTTTGTGTTTGCTGTCACCCAGAGGGTGGCATTGCTGGTGGTGGTTCTGCTCATCGTGGGGGGGCTCCTCATGTTCACTTACAAGTCCACACAGCTCAGCACCCAGGGCTTCATGCTGGTGCTGTGTGCCTCTCCTTGGGGGTATTCACTGGACCCTCATGCACATACTTATGCAGAAGGCTGAGCTGGGTGTGTAGGGTGTTAAGAAGCAGCAGGTGGTGCTGGGTGGGGGGCATGGGCGAATAAGGAGGTGGTGGCCCTTGCTGCAGAAACAAGACATCTAGTGTAAGGGATGGTGTTTGGCACTTGGGGCAGGGGTCATCTGTTGAGGGGTAATGAAGGTGGCTTTGGCATCTGCAGCAGCACAGGTGTGGGCATTACAGATAAGATGTATGTCTAGGAAGGGTGCTAATAAAGGCTCTAGGAGCTATGTTATTCCCTGGCTTGATGTTGCCTGGTCTGCTATTAATTCTCCTCTTTCAAGGCCCCAGAACCCCACTGATACCATGTTTCTTTTACCTGCAGCCACTCAGGTTCCTGGGGCTCTTCCCTCTCTTTGTGGTGTTTGATGGTGTGAGTTAGAGAAAGCAGGGAGAGCATTATAGAGTGATTGGGGAGATTGCTTAGCAGTTTGTTGTTTGAGGTGATTCATTCAGATAAGTGAACCTCTATGAACTTTACAAAGTCGTTGGAGACCTGGAATTGTAAGGGCCCCGATATACCTTATGCTGGTGGAACATTAAAGAGTGCATGGGAATAGTAGCCTGCCACACTTGTGGAAGTAGGGGCTGTGAAGAACTGGCTCCACATCCTCCTGATACTGGAATGTGAGCAGCCCACCCCCATCTTTTTGTGAGGAGTTCTGGGAGTTGGGAAAGGTACTCTGCTACTCACTGTCTTGTTCCTAGGCCTGCCTTTGTCTGTGTCAGAGAAGCTCCTCCATTTCCATGAAGCAGGAATGCTGTTCTCTCTGGTAGGGAAGCTTTTCTTGGGTGGAATTCTTGCCTTTGGTCTAGGCTTTTCTGAGTTCATCTTGGTTTCCAGAACATCTAGCCTCACCCTTTCCGTTGCTGGCATTTTTAAGGTAAGGCATGGTTCCTGTGCTAATGCTACAAGGCAAGTACCGAGTCATCTCTAACAGGCTTTGTGTGGTGGGAACTTCCTTAGAGCCTTAGACATCATCTCCTGTTGTTTTTGTTCTCCTTGCACAGGAGCTTGATGCTTTTCCTTGCAGTCTCTACAATGAAGTCCCTTGGTCCCTGACAGCAAGGGGCAGAGACTCATGGCTGTTCTATAAAAAATACCATTAGGGTCCAGAGTGTGGTGGGATCTGGGACAGGCTAAAACACGTGGGCTTCACGAGCAACAGATGGTATGGGAGGGAGGAGGGGTAAGAAGGGCATGCTCTTACATCAGACCTGCATATGAACAAACCACTGGCTTGAGCTACCTCTAACCTAGTTTGGTACCTCCTCGCCTTCTTTGAGGAATCCAGCATGCACACTTTTGAGCTGAATGGTGACAGAGGAAGTTTGTCTGATTTGGAAGTCACAGGATTTCCATGTAGCCAAGCTATGCAGTCAGAGGACTTAAAATCCCCCATCTCAGTTTAACAGGTCATTCTGTTTCTAGAAACTGGTCCTAGAACTCTGCGCATGGAAGAATGTGCTGATGGAAACTAGCAGCCTGGCATCTTGATGTGGGCTTGAGTGGTAAAATGTCTCATGCATATCTCCTCAGATCCTGCCCTGCCATTTGTCATGTTTTTTGTTTCCACAGAAATTGCATTTTATTCCTCGCCACACATTTGCTGGGAGACCGCTTCAATCTCTTGAACTGGCTGGGTTTTACTGTTTGTCTGTCAGGAATCTTTCTTCTTGTCATTCTCAAAGCCATGAATTCCAAAGGTGATTCTGTTTTAAATCCCTTTCTGTTTCTCTGTAGGCATTCTTGTAGCTTCACTAGGAGCTGTGTCTGTCGGCAGCTCCTGGCCAGCGCCAGGTCTGATGGGTGTTCTAGTGCGTTCGTCACTAAAGGGGCTGTCTGCATGCAGGTGAAGAAGCACCGAAGCTACAGGAAGAGGCCAGCTCTGACCCTGACCTGGAGCTGCTGCTGTGCCACTCTGAATGTGGTGAGGAGGAGGAAGAGGATGTTGAAACCCCACAGCAGCACTGACTGATAACGAAGCACAAAGGCCCCTGCCCTATTCTTATCCCACCTGCCTGACAGCTCTCTAGGAGGAAGGTCCGAGAGTCTCTCTGTGAGCACCCAGAGGAGAGCCAGGGCCTGGCAAGAGAGCCCTGATGTTCTGCTGCAGCATGGATCTGTAGATGCTGCTCAAGAAAGAGGCGATGTCCTTTCATATCCCCTTTGCAGAGAGCAAACTTGGAAGATGAGCCATGGTTCAGTGGAAGGAGAACGACGTGGTGAGACTGGGAGATGCTGTGGGAAGCTTATTAGGGTGTCCTGAAGTCTGTAAGGAGAGTGTAGACCATGAGCTCTAGGGTAAGCATGGCCATGTCTGGACAGATGGCTCAGTGGTTCAGGGGTGATTGTAGCATTGGCTTTGTCTTCAACAAAGAAGGTAGATTTACCTTCTCATGCTTGCTTTATGGTTCTGCTGGGAGGAACTCGCATCTTGGTGGGAGCAGATGACTACATAAAAATCCATAGACTTGTCCAAGTGAGAAGGAGCCTTTGTGCCTGGTGACCTTCGTGTTCTGTGTGCGTAGTAAGGAGAGAATTAAATGCTGGTATCTGGGACCAATTGAATGAGGTCAAATGATGTTGGCTGGAGGAAAGACAGGGATGTATGAGCACTTCTGGCCCTACAGGCCAAGAGGAGAGAGAGCAGTATCCCAGGAGATGTAGCCTGAGCCATAAGCTTATCAGAAAGTATATGGGTATTTGGGGGGGTGGGGTGTGTTTGTTTTTTAAATAAACTATTTCTCTGATTCCTTTTTGTCTGCACATTATGCACCTATGCTTCATCAAGCAGAGGGCATTTGCCTTCTGAACTCCTTTCCTTTTGGACCCACACTGACCTTGCTACTGCATGCCCAATTATTTCTGAGGCCTGGTACACAAAATACTTGCCCATGAACAGGATCCTTGATCTCTAGGTTTAGGGGGATCTTCCTGCCACCCATCGTGTTTGTGCCAAGCAGGAGAGCATACTGACTTGTCTGCTTTCATGTGTGAACAAGACACGGTATCTTAAGATGACTTTTAGCAGTGTGACTTTTTGTAGAAATTTTACCTCTTAGCCCCATTGGGCATCGGTTAGTGCTGCGGCCTTGTCCAGGAGAGGGGAATGGTGCAGGATTTAAGATGTGTCCCTTTCCTTTCTGCTGAGCCACCAGTGGTGTTGGACAGGTGGATGGTATTTTGCATGGCAGAATTTTCACCTCTTTCAGAGTTTTGTTCAGTGCTAGCTTCTGGAGTTTTTGAAGTAGAAATAACTTGAGAGAGCTTCCCAAAGGGATAATGGTGTGATCTTTCTCCTGAGAGGAGCTGGGCATTAAAGTGAATTTCTCATACTCTGAGAACCTGAACTATTTTGGCTGGGCTAGAGGGACCTCAGTCGGTCTTGCTTCATTATTTTCAGATACGAAGTCTTTCTTGATGACTTTAGTCAAGACCATGTCTTGCAAAACAATGGTTCTGAAGAAGAAAACTTGTTAATAACAGTCATCTTTAATGATATTCTAATAGACATTGGTAACTTGCTTTGGAGCAGACAGCAGGTGGTGCAACTACCTCATGTAAAGCTGCTGAGCCAGCAGCTCCAGGCCAGGCTGGCATGCCAAGGGATCTTGTGCCTCAGATAGGATGCCTGGAGCTGAGAAGGGCTTGGCCTGTCGCTGGATTTTCCAGTAGCTGGGACGTGTGATGCTTCCAGCAGGATTCTCCCTGTTCACCCTCCTGACAGGCGTGACCCCCGTGGGCTGTGATTTGGGGCAGCGACACTTTCCACATGTGATCTGTCGTTAGCAATACCACAGCTTCTCTTTGCATTTCCCAGAACTGAACCTCGGGCATCCTTCTACAGTGTAACTCTTGGATTGGGATTTCAGGTCCCTGTAAACCCAAGGTAAAGGTGACCTTGTTCAGAGGCCAAGATTTGCACCACATACGGTGCTTGAAGATGAAATTTGATTGTGCCAGCACACATGCTTGTGAACTGTAGAGCCCTGTAGTCTGTTGCTTCCGGTCTAATTTTCTCCTCAAGATAGAGGGGATGCCACAGAAAGAACCTAGTGTCCACACTTAGCATTTCTGATCTAGACGCAGCCTTTTGGCAACAAATAGGACACTCACTGACTGCAGTGAAGTACGGTCAGAACAGCTTTGGGACAAGCAGTTAGTTCTGCCCCCCTCCCTGGAAAGTTGCCAGCTGCTTGCTTCCAGCAAGGCTGGATAGATGTCTGCTTCCTTGTTCAGTAAGATATTGTTCTTTTCAGAGATAAAGAGAAACCTGGAAATAACAAAAATGTATACTGCTTCATGATTTTTCCATGGCATATGGTACAGGGAATCAGTCCAGTTTGCTTGTGAGACTGGGCATCATTCCTCTGTATTGGGAAGAATCCTATTCTATCCAGATAGGAATGGCAGAGGATCTCTGTCCTATTCCTGCCTGTGAATTTAAAAAGTCCTTATGCAGAGCTTGGTGACAATTACTACTTAATTTCTCCTTGAGGTTCAGTGGAGGAAGAGGTTTTCCTCCAGCCTCACAAATCCAGGTAGGGATCTTATGCAGGGAGGTTTATGGTAGGGCATATTCTGCAGGTGCTTCTGTGACCAGCACACAGCAAGAAGTAGGTGATGAGTTCAATAGCAGATGTTCAGCAATAAGAATGTAGAAAGGATGGATAGCAGTCTGCATCAAACCTCTGGTGATAAACTTCTTGGGCTGTAAGGGATAGTGAAGAGCTAGCAGTGAAGAGCTGTTCCTGTGAAACTGGCTGAGATCTCAAACTTAGAATCAGCATATCTAAAGGATGTTTAGACTCTAAATAATTGGAAAATCTAGGGACAGATAACCGTGATGGGGGACCTGAAAAGTTACACTTTTCTGCATAGCTGTGGATGAGTGTAAGTGTACACTTAATGTGTACATGGCTTTTCTACTGCTGTGAAGGTCCTTTTTTTGTCTGTTTTATGCTAGAACTACTCATACCATTCAGATGAAATGGCACATTGATTTAATAACATCATTTGGGATAGCGTGTTCCGTGGTGGCCCTAGCTCCAGAATGTTAGAATCACAAGGTCTAGATTCAGTCAGGCTTGCTAGAATAAGGTGGGAAGGGGCAGCTCTTTCACAGCATCTCTAGGACTTGTTTGAGGCATGGAAAAAATTGCATGATAACTCATCAGAGAGAGAAGGCACAGGCCTCTGGCTGGACATAATTGGAAAATGCAATTTCTTCTAGAGCCCTGATAGCTTTGGGAGTCTTCTAGTGCTAGAAATCTTCAAGTCACCTTGCATATGATTTAGCCACCGAATCTCTGTTCTTTTAGCTTCTACTTGAACAGCTAGATCAATAATTGTATGACAAGCAGAGGCCCATCAGCATACTAGCCTTGAGTCAGGTCTCTGAAGGCTCATGGGCTGTCCCCAGCATGCTACCAAGAGGTGAGAATAGACACTGCTTACCCTTCAGCACATCGTTCCACAAGTGACCAAAGCAGGAATGCTAACTAAACCATGTGCCTAGCAGGGAGGCTAAACATATGTGTCCAGCATTAAGGACATGGTCCTGCTCTTTGGTTGAATAGAGGGTGGTCTTGGAGTCCTATTGGGAACCATGCAGCTTGACCAACTTTGAGGGTCTGCTGAGGCCTCTCTGCTGCAGCTGGGGGTTCTTTTAGCATCTGTGCATCAGCGTGTTTGAGCAACAGTCCTGAGTCTAGATTGCTTTCTCTAGCCTGGAGCATTCCTGCTGAGATCTGTGTGCACCTACCTTCATGGTGCTGTCACGCGTTCCTAGCCATGTGTGCAGGGGTAGCTGTAGATCTGTCATCTGAGAATGGAAATGCACCTCCTTCACTGGAGTTTTGGAGCACCAGCATAGAAGTTTGCATTTAAAAACTGTGGTGTTGGGTATAAATGTCATTGCTGCAGGTGCCTGACTGGGGTTTCCAAACAATAAGCAGTGAGCAGCTCTGCTTAAGTCTCTTCATCCTCCTGCCATTAACTGACCAAACAGTGGGGGCTTTTGCACTCTAAACTGTTGCTGAATGCTTGGTGTTGCCTGGGAAACGTAGAAGGAAAATGAAAGGATGCTATTCTTCATGGGTTTATCTTGCTTTTCTAACAGCTTCTGGTGAGAGCCTAAACTTTGCAAGGGAGGGAGCACAGTGTGTACATTCCCCACACCCTGTGTGCCAGTGTTGCTCTTCTTGGTCCAAGATCTGCTTGTTCCACTTTTGTTCACCCTTGCCCGCCACATCTCTCTGCTCCACGTCACTCCTGCGGCACTGGCAGGAGCGCCACGATAGAGGGTGGGCAAATGCTGTGACTGACTTTGTCACCTGAGACCAGTTCTCCATCACAAATTTCAAGGCCCTGACTCAAGGAGATGCAGAGGTGAGGCACAGAGATGATAAAATGGGGAAGCAGTCTTGGTACTTTGGGGAGATGGACAGAGGTTGCCTTTAAAGAAGTGAGGTGCAGCTGTTGTGTTGGCCAAAGCTGTCCCTATCCATTACACCTCTGAGCTTTCCAAAAGCACTTCCATTTCCTACATTTGGAAAAGCAGCGAGTTAGGAATAGTGTGCCTGTGGTGAATGTTTTCCTATCACTTTTTGACTTTCCCTTCAGCTTGTTTCACTCTGCTTTTGCTTTCACCGACTGCTGTGTGCTGTGTCTGCAAGGCTCTTCTGTACTCCAAGAGCTTCACCAGGCCTCACCATGTTGGCTCTGAGGCTCACCCGATGAGGACTTTGCCCTGGTGCAGGGTAGAGCACTCTTCTTGGCTGCTTTAGTGCTCACTCTCAGCAAGAAGTGTTTTAGAAACAGAGTGGAAGCACTGGCTGTATAGAGAGCTGCAGGAGAGTCCATCTGAATCCACCATGAAGCTGATGGGGATGGCCTTCCATTTGAAGGGCCTGATGCTCTTCTGACTGCCCCTTTACTGGCACTCTGACTCCTTGAGAGCCTGAGAAGTCTTGGTACTCCAGCGCTGCCCTGGAGCTCTTGGAGAAAATCTCAATTGCTTGTGGTTAGGTGGGCCTGATTTTGCAGGTTCAGCCAGTGCAAGCATCAAGTTTAGTGTAGGAGATCAGTGAGCAAAGTAAAAAGGCCTTGTCAGAGGTCCGTGTTGGAATCGGCAGGAAGGAAAGGGTAAAAGCTCTGTGATTCTGGGAAAATGGCAACTCTGCTGGGACATGGTGCGGGGCTCTTTTCTGTCCACATATTCCTGTCTCCCCTCCCCAGAAGCCTCAGGGGTTGAGGGGATTGGTCCTAGGGGAGAGGTCACTGCCTACCTTCTAGGCTCAGTCCCTGGAACAGGTCTATAGAGGAGGTTGGTGGGCCTTACCCTCACTTGCTGAAATTGTAGTCCTGCCTTCAAGCTGAGTCATCCTGCACCTGGACGTGGTCTCACTCAGGAGCAGAACCAAGGTGCTGGGTGCCTTCTAGGGAATATGGGAGAGCTGTGGGCGAGCTCAGGAGGGGTGGAGTGGGGCTGTATGTGGTGCAGGGTAGTGCAAGAGAGCGTTAAAGGAGCAGCACAGCTTGTCTGTTGAACACTGTCCGTCTCACTTGAATGGGCACTAAAATTTAATGAAAGGAAGAACGAACCCCTGCCTACCCTCTTTCATATAAGGAAAAAACCCTACTGTGCACTGAAAATGTCAAACAGAAAAAGAGGCAAGGATGAAGGACTTAAAGGAGGAAATAAGAGTGCTGCAGCAGTGGCAGAAGGGAAACGAGAAGGCACTATCTG